CACGTTGAGAAATTAATTTTGACACAAGTGGCAATAAAATTGCCAAAATAGGAAATTAACTTTGACAAAACGGGCATAAAAATAACATATTTTGCAATATTGTTATTTTTATTGCCTGTTGTGTCAGAATTAATTTCACAAAGTGTCAATTTTATTGAAGGTAATGTAAATTTTTTTGCATGCTTGATAAGAAAGTGGCATTTGTGGAAAATGGAGCAAAACGTATAAGATATGGAGGTGAAATTCGAAAAAGCAAAGACACTTTTCGAGGAGTTTATCGAATTCATATTTAAATTTTTGTGAGAATTGCATAAAAATAACAATATTGAACGAATATTGATCAGAATTATTGCAAAATATCGTAAACACTCCGACTTGTAACATAGTCCAAATTGTAAAATATTTGCAAAAAAACACGATTTTAACATAGATACGAATTTTAAATGCGACACATTATATACATATTCGGAAAAAACACGAAAAAATCTATCTATGTAGAATAATTAAACACTGAAAATGTTTTAGTTTACATTCATTTATCCGTTTTGAAAACAGCATCTAGTTTTTCACTGGTTTTGAGAGGAAAAGTTGAACTATGTTGCAATGTCACGCTTCCCAATTCATTGTTTTTTCCACTAAATACAGTACAAAATATTTGATGTTTCCATGAATTTCTACTGTGAAATGTTTTTGAAAATTTAATGAAACACTCTTTTTGCAATATATTTCGACAAATATTAATATTTTAGATAAATTTCATGATGTATCAATTGTAACTCATTCTTTCCGAGTTATAACATACAAAGCTGCTGTCAAACTGAACTTTGAATGAAAGTTCTATGGTTGATTTGGTGTTGACAGATGTGACAGTTCGCAATGTGCCGATCACTTAGTGTGTTGAAATGTATGATTGTGTAAATATTCTTGTTTGCGAAAATGTTTTAAAACAATAAATATCGTAAACCATCCAAATTGTAACATAGTCTTAAAATAAACCACTTTTCTGAAAAAATACAAATAAGTCATATATTCATATCGGAAGTTTTTTTCGTGATCTTCTCAAATATGATATAAAAAACAACAGTTACCCTTCAAAGTTTTGCAGAAAATTAGTCTATTTGTTCAATTGTTACAATTTGGACTATGTTACAATTCGGATGGTTTACGATATTGAAAAACATAAAAGAAAAACAATCCAAAATCAATAGAATAAATCGAAATCACATCGAATTTGGAAACAATTGCGTGGAACCCAAACGGTTTTCGCGCGTTCAAATTTTGACATTTCATAAAGTTTCGTCATAAGTCTGTGAATATATGTTTCAATTTGGAGTTTACAATATGGATAGTTCAGTTTCCTAATATGAGATTTCGTGTATTTTTGCGATTAAAATAAAAATTAAACTATTGAATGAATTTTTCGTTAATCAACCGATACATCAAATGAAAGCCAAATAAATTCTCTTTCGAATAGATATAAACATGTTGGGAATTTATGAAGTAATTTTGTAGAAATGGACATGCAAATCGGAAAATTGATAGTTTATGTTACAAATTGGAGTGTTTACGATATGTTATTTTTATGCCCGTTTTGTCAAAGTTAATTTCCTATTTTGGCAATTTTATTGCCACTTGTGTCAAAATTAATTTCTCGACGTGGCAATTTTATTGAAAGAAATGTTAATTTTATTGCAAGTTTTGTTAAATTTATTTTTAATTTTTGTCAAATTTATGGAACTAATTTGTCATTTTTATTACCCGTTGTGTCATTTTTATTTCACGCTTTGTTAATTTTATTTCACGATTTGTAATGAGCCTTTCTTTGATCCTTTTTCTTGAAATTCTTGGTTATGGCCCGAAAAAAAATCGCTAGATTCGCTAATTTTTTTGAAAATATAAAGCAACCTCGAAAATCACTTCCAAAATTATGTAACGTTACTGACAACTTTGAACACTTATAACTCCGTAATCACAAATGATAGACAATACTTTAAGCCATTGAATTATCAGTCTTGGGGAGTTCTATCATATGCAATGGAAAAACTATGAGTTTTATTTATTTTTTGAAGAGATATGAGCAAAAATGTGCAAAAAACGTGACGTTACTGACGATGGCCGTGACCATATGAGACATATGAAGAAGTGTTCATAGAATATCTTTGAATCAAGGAAAAAATTCAAAGAATGACTACCAGCTTTGCCCTTTTTAAACTTTTCATGAAATTTGTACGTAAAATTTATAAGTCCATCTATTGAAAAAACTCAAAATCAATGAAAGTTCAAAGTTTTTCATAGATTATCTATGGATTTTGCATACAACGCCATCTATTGAAAAAAGTCACAATCGTGTCAAGTTGAAATAGGGCAAAATAACCCAGAAAATGGTTGTCATTCTTTGAGTCAAGAAAAAAAATATTTTTCACCGTCACAAATAACATTTTCACCATGAACACCCTATTTGGAGTAATAAATTGGTATGCCGTATCACATCTCACAATGAACTGTAAAGTGTCGATCACATGAGTTTATCAATTCGAAGTGATAAACGAGGTCATTCTTATTACAAATTGACCTGATTCACCGAATTCCTATGATTAATTACCAATAATTCATTCGGAACTTGTGATATCGGAAATAATAGAAATTAAAAAAATTAATGTTTAAATTGCATTAAATCTACATTCTTCTATATAATAAAAATGATTATAGTTTGGTCAAACTCAGTTGAAAACTGTAGGAGGAGTTGAAGAGTCATTTTTATTATATAGATTTTGCATACAAGCCTTTCCGACCGAGATCACGGTAAGGGTTTTCAAACAGGTGAGGGTTTGATGTAACAGTCTTGCCATCGGTGGCGTGCAAAGCAATAGTGCCGCCCGACGCAGATGCCCAAAATGCCGCCCCAAAAATTACCTTTATTACTAAAATCGATCCTATGTAAATCTGTAAATAATAATTCCAAAATATCCCATACAAATAACCACAGAAAAATGCGAGCAGATCATTTATTAATTTATTGGATGTGAAAATATGAAAATTATATATATTATAATTATGTTTGTTTAGAAAACTGGAAGTAAAAAGTTTGAAAATATGTTTAGTTAAAAAATAGAATATTATATTAAATTATTTGGTTGATACGTTTTTTAGTTAAAACTAATTTGACGTGCTTTTGCGGCAGCGAATTTTTCGATGATAGTTTCCTGTGGAATGGAATCCAATAGTTCCGATTCAATTGAAATCATTGATAAGTTGCTGAGCCGGTCTTGCGACATTGATGTTCTTAAATAGTTTTTGATGAGTTTCAATTTCGAGAAACTACTTTCCGCTGAAGCTATTGTGACTGGTAATGTCAAAAAAATCTTTAAAGCTGTAGTCAGGTTTGGATATATTGGAACCAGACAACACGCACGAATTTTATTCAAAAAATCCAATGGTGATTTTTCTCCTCCATTGCTAATCAGTGCTTGGAAGGATCTGATTTCATCGAGTAGTTGTTCGGCATCAACGTCCTTGCTCCCATCTTTGGTTGAAGTTAATTTTGTTTCGAGTCGTTGACAATGACTTAATGAAATGTCCGTAAAGTGCAAATTGAATAAGAATCCAAATACAGTTTCCACTTCATTTAAATGTTTGAAACGATCTTCTAACTTGATCAAAGCTACGTCTAGAATGGGATAAACGTAAGATGCTTTGAATTCAGCTATATTATCCACTTCCAATTCATCCATTTCGGCACGTTGGGCTAGCCGTTCTTGAATTGCCATATAATCGAGTGCAGTTGGTTCAAAATTTAATTTATTTCGGATTTGTTTTGCTGTTTCAAACCATTCATCGATGACGTTATCATCGCCTTCGTTTTGTCGTAATTCATTGAAAGTGTTTGTCAAATTTGCGATCAATTCCAAGCAGCGAGCAATATCGAGGGACTGAGATTGCAACATTTTGGAAATAACATTGATTCTCGATAAAATATTGTGCCAAACAACCAGATTACAAATAAAGTTGAACCGGCCTATTTTCCTAGCCAGATTATGTGCATCATAACTTGTATTTTCGGGCTTCGGAACATTTGCAATTTTAAGAAGTGCTGCGTGGATTTTCGGCAAATTGAACAAGAGACATTTAGTTGCAGCTTCTCGACTGGACCAACGTGTAGTCGACACATTTTTCAAAGTAATTTTTCCTTCAGTGGCAAATCCCTGTGAAATAAACAATTAAAAAAATTATTATTATATACAATATTAGTTGAAAACTCTAATGTTAGTACAAAAATTTAGCAATATTAATTTGCAAATGCGTAAAAAAGCAAAATATTTCATTTACCTGTAAAATTTCCCAGCGTTTTGGTGATTCCGAGAAAAATACGTAGCATTTTTGCACCGTTTCGAAAAAGCTGAATCTTTTATTGTCGATCAATTTAGCAGTATCATTCAGCATCAAATTCAATTTATTGCAGGCGCACGGAACGAAATGAGCTCGCGGATTCAATTCAGTAATTCGGTTTTGTACACCTTTGAAGCGGGCTGCCATGTTGGCACCGTTATCGTATCCTTGGCTAAGCATATCCTGCACGTCTAAATCAACCCTTTCAAGTTCAGAAGTGATTGAGTTTCCAATTCCTTCTCCTGTTCCATCCTTACTTTCAACAAACGACACGAACCGTTCTTCGATCTTGTACTTATTTTCATTCGGACATAACGTAACGTATCGAACGATTGTGGACATCTGCTCTACATGTGATAGATCCGATGTGCAATCAACCATTATTGCATAGTATTTGCTTTCCTTAACAGCACTTATTATTGAATCCAACACACTGGAAGCCATACATTCGATTAATTCATTTTGAATGCGGTTTGATAAGTAATGTCGTTTGGATGTCGTTGTTGCGCGATTTACATGATCGGCCATGATTGGATCGAATTTTGCAAGCATTTCAATAAGTTTCAAAAAGTTTCCGTTGTTTTTGTCGTATAATGTGCTGGTGTGACCCCGAAATGCAAGTGATTGCTGTGCCAAAAATTGAACGCTAGCCACGAGACGTTTCATTACTTGTTTCCAGTGGTCGATTTCCTTATTTAGCTCTCTCTGTTGGTGTGCATCAATTGTTTGGTTTGTTTCTAATCGCATACCGAAATCAATCCATGATTTGAAAGCAGAACGGTGTTTGAAAGAGTTCTCGTGGCCGGCCACAGCACGATTAATATTGGACCAGTCTGAATAGCCACGTTCAGAAGCACAAAATAAATTTGCTTTCCGATTGAATATAGCGCAAACCAAACAATACACTGAATCACTGATTTTTGAGTAAACTAACCAATCACGCTTATAATGTGTGCCATTGATATGATTC